GGCGCCGGGCCCAGCCGCAGACTTGGCCGTAGACCCATCCTGGCTGTCCCAGTACAGCGAAGCTTTCACCTCCGCCGAAAGTGTTACGTTTCTTGATATTGCAATAGCTTCCCTGCACATCTGGCGGAATATGAGAAGTCGACGAAGAGAAGAGGCAGGTGTTTGCTCCATCTCAAACATTATGTCGGGGTCTACGACGTCGTCCCTCAGTTCTCCATACATAATTTGGATTGCCGCCTTTGTCGCTTCCTCTTCCCAATGGAACCGCATTGCCCTGAAAAATACCCTCAATGGCTCAGTTTTGATTGCCTCGGCCCATCTCTTCCTTGCTACGAATATTGCTCGTTCCACTTTGTATTTCATGGCGGCCTCCAGAAGATCATGTGCTTCCCACAGGGTATGAACGGCTGGGCTGACCATCGGATAGCAGAGTTGCAACAACAATGCCAGTGTACGGTCGTTCTCCGGGAGTAAAACAACCAAATGCTCCCCTTCCTTCTGTCTGTCAACGATGTTGTCACTTTGACCACCCACCAGCACAGCGAGAACCGGCGACGCCAACGCAAGCAGTAACTTATATACGTAAAAGTCTGTGCCTGAGCAGGAACGAACGATGGTGTCTCCTTTAGAGGAATCATCAAAGGGAAGCAGTGGATGTTCCCCAGGCGGCAATAAATGCTGCGGAGGAATGGGGTTACGGATGAATGTTTCAGTCCGGTTCCAAAAACCGGTGCGTCTGTCATAGCTACCCCCATGATAGCACAGGAGTCGATAGTATGCAGCAGCTGATATTTCATCCAAGCTGAGGTCATATGTGTCAATAAGGAGACTGGAATAGGACGGCTTCGTCTTCTGTATTTTAGTTTTGTTTTTCGATCCCGGCTGAAATACGGAGGCAGCACGATATGCCATGTCCTCCAATTTTAGCCGACAGGCGGCCGCGAACACCTGAAGTGGTGCTTTCGCAATGAAAGATGTTAGGGATGTTCGCATGAGGGTAGTCGCCTCGTTCATATCATACTTGGTTGCTGCCTCTAGGACGGATTCTACATCTTTCACGTGCAGAAGGATGGGGTCCGCAACAGGATAGCAGAGTCGAAGAAGACGATCCAAGGTATGTTTGTCTTCACTGACGTCGATGATGGGAAAGTTGGGTCCGGGGACTTGCAATGTAGGCGGCTCAGGTTGTGGAAGGCTGAACATGTCAGAAAAGAAGGTTGAGGCTACACTTAATACGACCTTGTGAGCGAAAAAGTCGACCCCATCCGACGAACACAAGATAACATCAGCATCACCACGACAATTGTTGAATGGATATCCCCCCACAGCCATGACAGGCTCGGAGGACTTGGGTGTTTGGGGAGTGCTATCCATCGCAGCCTTCCAGTGGTAAGAAGCTGAACGACACTGGAAAGGACTCGGAGAGCGCCTAGCTATCGATGAGCGGGTCTGGCCCTGTCTGGCCGGAGGCTTCCGGTGCATTGACGACCCACGTGTCGAACAGACCTTGGACAATGTAAGTTATGGCTCGGACTTGACCATCTTTGGGAGAAGGTTTGGCCAGGTAAACCGGTATAAGCAGGCTACGTAAGTCCTGCCCATGTATAGAATGTAACACGACGCACAGTGCAGATAAGATTTAACAAATCTGGCCAGATGATAGTCATTTGCAGACCAGATTGGCGATCCCTTTCTGTTTATTACGGTGAGATTGGATTGACCTACATGCATCAAAGACGTACTGGAGAGTGTACGTACTGTTTACCTGGTGAGAGCCCACGCCGCGAACAGAAAAAGACAGGACCTATCGTATTTTACCTGCATGTATCAAGAGCAGTCGAGGATTAACAACTCTACGGGGTTTTTCCTGCTAGATTTCTACAAAGCCTGCGAAGAATGAGAAATACAAGGCAGGTGCAAATAAGCCTCATAGGATGCACTGAATTTGATTAGGGTATGTCTAGGTATGAGAGAAAGTCCAATACATATAGAAGCTGCATCAATTGTGTCTTGTCGAACACGATTGGCGTGATACTCGCGAGGTTTGTGAGTTTATAATCGCAAGGGGAGTCTGTACATGGCGTCATCGATCCGTCATTCCGACTGAAAGTTCGATCTCACTCATACCTATATGGGCATTACGCTTCACGGATCGTGTAAGGACGACATTTGAACATCGCAAGGGTCCTCCTTGGGAAGAGGTTCGACGAACATACGCCACTGCTGGCCATCCGATTGATGCATACATTGAGATGCTTGGGTTTCGAACTCGTCGACGTTCTGTCAATGCGTCGACTTGAAGTGGAATGAACCCCCTAGATATTCTGGCCTACAGTTGATAAGGATCTGTGAGAATTGCCCCGAAGAGAAGTCGTAATGTGCGTTATCGTTGTCAATTTTCGGTGTAGATAAGTCGTGAGTATGCAATTGACCAGAATATCACGAGTTGTGAGTGATTGTTACTAGCCGCAAAAACATTTCTCATCGTGTAACTAACAGGTTCACTCGAAGCGATGAGGCTGAGTATAGGGAGTAACGCCTCGTCGATATACTGAGCGCATCAACCCTCTGCATCCTGCGTGTTGCAAGGTAAGTGAACGTCATGCTTAGATATCAGGCGAGTAGTGACCCGTGTAAATGATGGAGTATTGCGGCGATAAAGGACACTCGGTGCGAACAACCAAGTATCGGAATCGGCAGGAATCAGGAATTTGGCACGGAGATCCGTATGCATGCAGCCTGCGCTCTCTGTGCCGTTCGCACCCTATGGCTGAGAATTCTGCCAAACCTCCCCTGGGTTAGGTCTGCGTAAGAACCTCAGCATGAGAATGGATACGATAGATGTTTCCTTAATTTTGAAAACGTACCATCGTTAATGCCTTTCGGACATCGGGGACACAATCCGCCTACTTGTGCGATAGAGTCAAGCCATTGAGATTATGCGGCTATTGACCCCGACCAGGCACTACTTACGATCCAATGGAATCAGCTTTTGTTATGACAGAAGCAACCTATTATTGACCCGACATACCACTTTTGCCGATCTGAATCCGGGGCTTACAATATGGTAAGTTCTCCCGGACATTCTCAGATACTTGGAGTCTTTGTTGCTATTGGCTCGCTGCACCAGAAATTTTAGAAGCAATATTAACCATAAAAAGGCGTCCAGGTGTCAATACAAAGATAGTCCAGAACAGAAGGCAGGTGGCTCTACGACCTCTAAAGCTCCGTACTTACGGACAGTAGACCCAAAGTAGGCCATATCAAGCCTCAAGGAAGTTCTGTACGCCCTTGAAGCTTGAGGTTTTGGATCGTTGCCCCGCCGCAACTATGGCGAAAGGTTTTGCCGCTTCCCGAGGATCTGTAATTCTGCATCCGAACCGGCTAGGGGGTAAGCTTAGGAAGACTCGGCGCTTCGGGTGCGAATGGCGAAGTGAGCATAAAGAGGGTGGTCATTTCAAGGTAAAATTGCTATCGGAATGATCTGTATATCTTTAAGATGCATTATCACGCATCGTCAAGCGCATCGCTGTGCGCCGCAAGTTCATCCTGTGAGCCTGGAACTTGAGACCAAGAATAGCACAGTCAAGATCGATTAATCAGTGACAAATGGCAACTGTGCCCGTGGGGATGGGGAAATCCTCGCGGCCTCCGGGAAGCGGGGCCGGGGCCGGGGTGGATGCGCGACAATCCCGGCCGCTGATGCCTACCCCAAATTGCATATGAATCAAGATACTGATAGTCGCGGCCTGTTCGGCGCAATGCACACTGAGCCCGTCTGAGCCCTCCAATACGAGTGAGCCACTAAGCATCCGACCAACGTCCCCTAGGCTTAAGCCTCAAGATTTCCTAAGAGCCTTTGTCCAGAAGGATGCATTCACTATGGCAAGCGAAAGCTGACCAGGGTGGGCCTGTGGTCATGATGAGTGTGGTATGCTTAAGTGATTTGCGAGACAGGATGATGATACGGTAAGTAGATGTTGATGAGCTCGAACCTTGGGACGGATGCTTGTTCCGAAACAGCCGGTGACAGCGAGATCAGAGCGTCCATTCGACCATGAACTGGACTCTCAGGAGGAACACTGGCCTACGATTAATGTACACTCAGTGTTGACCTGACCTCGAGGGGGCACATACCATTGTAGCGCACAACGTACAAAGGTGTGTCGTCACTACCCGAAAGATGTCAGCGTCAGCTAGTAAGTGGTACTTGGAAGTCTGACTTCATCGACCATTCACGTGGCTTTGAATACTAAGCTGTCGGTGTTTGATCAGCGGATAGTCAATACGATGTGTATATAGGTCTCCGGAGTGCGGTGATAAGTAACTTACTAAGTGCATACCGATTCGCATGTCATAGGTCGTCTCACTTCAGGGAGCCGAGGGGCTTAAATTTTAAGAGCAGCCTGCGATCGGCTGATACTTTAGCGACTTAAGTCGGGGCGTTCGACAGCCTGTAACCTAAGTCATGTACGGCAGCCGAAAATTCGCAATCTCTCACAACGGCTCCCTTGACCGTTGCCTAAGCCTTCAGCACAATGTAGACGCTAGATTCAATTCGTAACGCACACGCTTATTGTCTATGCAAGATTGATACATAGGCCAAGCACGACGTTGACGCTCTAGTTCAGATGCTTTGAGCAGAGAGAAAGGTTTCACAGCTTACACATGGCTTCTGAAGAGAACGAAACAGAATGCAACCAGGCACTATCGGCAGGCGTACTCAATTGGAGAACGCATGCATGATGTAGAAAGGAAAAGCGGGTACTTATTTGCAAAGTCCTCGACAGCTTCGTCCGCGTGTACCGGACACCTCAATGGCGTCAGCAGCCTCTACAGCTGC